TATAACATCCAGGACAAAACTGAACCCATGTTATATGATAAATACTTTCCGGACACATACACAAGCAAAGTTACAGCCAAGTTACGTTTTTGTTGTTTTACTTGAGCTTACCTTAAACTACTGACTTGTAGAGTTTCTAGGCCCGAGAATTATAGGCTTGAAGCACATGCTAAGGTGAAACCAAATGCACCAACCCGCATCAAGCCTTCAGCTTCTAAGCATAATAAATGACAAGGATAATGATGCACCCATACAAAGTAACCAATGCCCTTCAAGGAACTTAGCAATTCCCAAGCAAATATAATCAATGCTCTTCTACAAAAAGTTCACCAAACCCTTAAGCTCACCCCTCTCTACTCTCAACTTAGCAACTGGCAACAGAGACTAAGATTCACTCGAGCACAATTAGGAAAACCAGATTCTATGATAGATTAATCACATCTTCCTATCAAATTAAATAAATTAATAAATCGCATCATATTACATGATCCCACACTATATAGGCCATCATCTGAAACAATCTGACTATTAGATACAAATTATGTGATTCCCTATTATGTAAATCAGCATTTATCTTGGCGACAGGTAGGAAGTTACCTCTCAAACGCTCAAGATCAGCTTTATTTTTCGCATCAGTATCTCGAGCAATCTGCATTTCCCTTACCAATGATTTGTGCTTCAAATGAATATTACCAATTGCCAATCTCAGATTCCTAACTTCCACCTCTAAATCCATAGATGTCCTTTCCCTGCAGGAACCTAGAAAGAGAAGAGCCGAACCCACAAAAATCTGAGGAAAAAACTTAAAAAGCAATATGCTTGGAACAGATATTATACAAAATCACCTATCCCAGTAGTCTTACAATCTTCTGGACGTGCCTTCAAAACTGCAGTGTACAATCCATCCTTCAAACACCACAGGTCATCAATGGCAGCTACTATGTTATGCAATAAGTTTTTGGTCTTTTCACCAGCTTCTTGTCTCTCTTCTTCTATCTGATTGAGAGAGTTGCTAGTACAGGTACTTTCAGTTGCACCTGTTTCAAGAAGTCGGCTTAGAAAAGCATCCTCCTGGAGAGACGAAGAACCATCTGAGATCAAATTTCGAAAACTGAATTAGCAATTACATTTTGTACAGTTGAAAATTCTAGGTCAACAGAACGCTACCAAGTCAAAGAAGAACAATGAAGAACAACAGACATCCCACAACCATGAAGAAGCAGAGGGGAGGAAACGAGATATCAGAGAATAAAAGCATTAATGGCTTATTTCACCAGAAAAAAGGCACATGGTGTAGGTACAAATACATATACAGCCTGACAATTAATTCAGAGAAATTTGGTTGCTCGTCTCACAAGCTTCTTGGGACTTGCAAGCTTCTTGGACTTACAATTCCCACAGACACCCGAACTCCCAAACATACAAAATTATTGAATCCAACCTCAATCCATATGAAATATCAATTCCAAAAATTACAATAAAAAAAAATATTAAATACCAACCCAAGTATAGTTTTGAAGAAAAAAAAATTTGGATTTTGCTCAAAAGTATAATGACTTTTAGGCTGCCTAAGGATTGATAGATATGAATTAAACAGATTTCTGTTCGATTGGTTAAACGATGTTATCTTTCATTTGCTTTTATCAAGATGCATCTAAAGTTGAAATTTATTGATGAAGGATTCTATTTGCATGAGTACTGTAGTCGAATATAATCTCTAAATCTAATATATCCTCTCCCTCATCTAGAGGGCCATCTTTAGTTAGCATCAAGATTGTTCTATTGTGACCTAAGTATTCTATGTGCGAGTCTTGAAATAGTCTAATTTTGCACGCAGGGATGAGCCTCGTGACCAAATTTCCTATCCTTGTCTAATTACAACTAATGGATTTGACTCCAATTTACCTTGATTACAAATATCAAAATATCCTTTAATTTCTTGTAAGGATTTTGATCCTTACTGGGATGTTGAAGGATATGATTTGAAAAGCTTTTGCAATGGGGAAAACAATCCATCCCCTTCTTGTGTGTCAATGGATCTAATGGGATAGCCAAGAATCTGGCCGTGACATTTAAAAATAAAACAAGCTTGAAAGCAGCTGTCACTGTGTAGTCAAGGTTCTTTTGGATAATGGAGAATCGTACCAGTCACTTGTCTTGTGGACCATGGGTTATAATGTAAACTCCGGATTGCATCCATTCACTCTTTAAGCCAAGCGTTATGATGAGAGTTGATCTTAGAAATTTGTGTTTCCATGCGAGATGTATATGAATGTTTATTTTGCTGACTTAACACTAATCATGGTTCTCTAGTTGTCTCCAGTGACATTCTATTTTGATGTACTGCCTTGTATACCAGGAAGTAGAAAGGTGATTAAGTAGGTTACATTAAGGAGGTAGGTCATGCGTGGATGTTTTGTTTCTTCCACTTGTTTCACTGGTGTTTGATATGAAACTGGGGTTGTAAAAACATGATGCATCACCCAATAGGCTGTAATGTTCCCCGACTGAATGCTCTTTCCTGCATGGCTTTCAACCAGGACCGAAAGGAAAGAAATGCGAGATCGAATGTGGATAGAATTTTTTTGTATTCTAATTAGACCCAAATAAGAGTGTTTTCAAACCGATCTAATCCATTTTTATGCAAAGGATGTAACAAAACGTCACCTACCTTTGGAATATTATAGTTGCGGTTGTGGCCGTGGTTCACGGGGGAGTCGGTCATCGGCTCCCTTGTCATCAGGCACCAACTTCCTTGATCTTCTAATACTAGATAAGCGTCAACCCTCGTACATGGTCTTACAATTTTACGTAGACTTGTGTTTTGATAAACAGTCTACATTAAATACAGACTGTTTGAATTTATTATCATTCCACACATTTATTAATACCCAATTCGAGATGACAATAATTGATAAAAAATGTTGGTGATAAATCTATGGGTAATTTTTTTTCTACTTTTTGGTTTTTTAGACTTATTGAACGGTTGATGAAATTGAATCAATAACAAATCGACTCCTAAATCAAATATGTACACCAGATATATAAATCAAATAAATTTTTCCATACTATTCGTCCAGCAGAGTCAAATTTATACAGTAATTCGATCTTCTTGACATTCCTATCTACAATATGGCTTATGGTTATGGAAGATGATGGCCGATCGAGAAAGCGAGAGGCACCCCAAAAAGCACACTTTAGGCCGAAAGAGATTTGGTGAAGAAGAATCGTGGACAAGCTTTTTCTAGAAGCCAACATGCACGTCGAGAGGGTCATGGAATAAGAATAAAGTACCTCTCTATTGTGCTCTGCCGGAAAGTTTAGATTGAAAGGAAACGTTAAATGTTTATGTTCTGTATGATTATCAACCTTGTAAACAATAGAAAGTGCGCTTAGAATTCATGAAAGTAACTTTCCAGGGAAAATTATCCAAAAGAAAGAAGGAAAATATTTTGGATCCCAAATGAATAGAGATCATTGAATGAATAAATCCCGTCAATTTTTTTAA